TATATATATATATATATATATATATATATATTTATATAGATAGACAGATACGCCATTGGAAAAGTATCTGGTGCTTTTACAGAAACACCACATCTCCATAGTGAGCTTCAGAAAGAAGTAGAGTAAGTGTTAGTAAAAAGGATTCAGCATACCTGACCAGGCAACACTCCCCACCAGTTGGGATCCAGAAAGGCAATGGATGCATAAGTGAAACCAAAATGTCTACTTATTATATTATATCCTAGTTAAAGGCAAACAAATGTGTGAAGAATTGCCACAGGTGGAAGATGATACCCACCTGAGGAGGACACAGCAAAATCATGCTAATATGTGAATGAACATATTCGGAGTCATCCACATTCCTGCTTGTACAATCTCCTCCAAAAAACAGCAGATCTGAGCAGCAAAAGCCAAAGTAACAGGGCTATCTGGTGCGATGACACATTAAACAGTAATGTGTAACAGATCTCACATCAAAGCACTGATTTGAGATGCTATCATAAACTTTTTAGTAGTCTTTACTGTACTATTAACTCAGCGTCGGTAACTTATCACTGTCAAACTCATGACTAGCATTTTTCTCAATGTCTCTGTTGTAGCTTCATTTTTTATAACTCTTAACTCGTGATTCACTACCTTGTGATTCTCAATACCATTTAACCAGCTAACTACACTTTCCTAGCTCTTGACCTTATTTTGTAACACAGACGTCTTTTACTTATGCCATTTCTTCATGTATATGTTCACACTCAGAAAAATGTAGAAAATTGTTATAACTTCTTTCTTAAACTCTTTAAAAACGCTAGAAATATTGAATCAATTGTAAAATTCTCTCAAAAATATCCAATTGATTCATGACTCCTGAGCAATGGGGATATGAAAATAAGCATCTGTCACATCATATCTGGTCGTCCAAAGACCCAGGTAAAAAAACCCACTGAAGAGAATGGTAGGATGAATCCATGGTGAATCAAGGTGTGTCCAGAAAGGCATTCAGCCAGGATAGATCGATAATAGGTCTCCAATCTCCCATCTATTTGGGGAGGAAAATAATAATAATAATCGGAACAAGGCTCTTCTCCCAGCAAGGAAGAAGTAGAAGGATTAAGGGCTAAAGGAGAAGACATGTAAAATTTGACAAACCTGATCAATAAGGTGTAAGAAAGACATAGTTGGCAGACTCTCCTGACTGTAAGCAAGAAAAACCGAGTCGAAATTGTCCTCCCCCTGATGAAAACTTTCCTCAGAAGCATGTTCCTGGGGGAAGGAAATACGTGCAGAAGAAGCAGCAAAAGCGTCTAACTCCTGCCACATTAACACCTGCATCTCCTCGGCCTACATTGGCAACTCGCCATACTGGGGACTTGTGACACAAGTTTCGTTCATACTGGCGGGAAATTCTTAACCCACCTCATGAAAATTCAAATTAGTAAGTCTATATGAACTACTAAATTAAGTAATTCCACCTAAAAATGAAAACTAATACGAAAACACAAATATTTAGCCAAATTAGCTTGAAGAACAACTGAAAACATATGCCTGAACACTGTAGTGCCAACTGAGAAAATGAGAATTGTCCTGCAATGGTAGAAGGAGCTATCTGTGCTAGTATAGAAGATCCAATGGGATTGGTGCAGGGTGGTCGCATGGTCAACACATGTTGCTGCAATGATGCAAAAAATAGAGGGGTATAAAAGACTGATGCACTGTTCATAAGACTTACCAATGCCTAGAGGGCAAATGAAGGTTGAGATAGCTATGGGGGAGAGGAGGTAGTACTGTATTAGAACTGAGAACATTTTGGTTGTTGATACCTTCCGGAGTAATATTAAAATGTGTATATTTGATCACTTTTGAGATTTTACTAGTTGTAGCTTATATTGAAATGACCTTAAAGATAAAATTTCTTGGCATATCAATAAATTGAATGATCTTTTACATTTACCTCTGTCAAGTAACCCAGAACTATTTTTCCTTTTTCATGCTGTGAAAGGATAGTAAGGACAGCTAGCTGTTACACACACTTTAAATACCTGGAAATGTGCTTGCAATTGATCTGTGTATTAAATGCATATAATTGTACATTTAAAAGGAGAGGTCAAGGTAACATTTGAAAGTAGAGATGTAATTTTTTGTTAAATCTGAGTGTGTGTGTGTATATATACAAAGAAATGAATACCTTTTCTTTTGACTGTCTCATCCAACAGAAGAGAATCCCTCTCATACACTTCACAACACTTTGTCCTAGGTCATAGGCTTTCCCTCTGTCATCATCAATTCTCCTACTCAAAGTAACATGAAATATCACCACTTTATCTTAAAAACACAATTCTTCTACTCATGTCTGGTGGACTGCCCAACAAAATACCGAATCAAGCTACTAATGTTTTATTTTGGTATTAATTGAGTGAAACTTTCATAATTTTTTTGTTATACTTCTCCAGTTAATGAATTTAAAAACTAAAAATATACGAGATATTGAATAAATTGTTTTAATTTTAAGGACATACTCAAAAGGAGAGATGTCAACAAGGGTTAGTAAAGGCCCATATAAAATTTAGATAAAGGTTTGCACAAATATTGTGACAGACGTAACAGATTACTTATGAAATATTACACTCTTTCACACACACATATAAATATATATATTTTCTATTCTGGATTAACTGCTTCAGAAATACCAACAGGAAAAAGTTATATATTTATAAACCAATCAAATAAAGCATATTAGTTCAGATGGGGCCATTTACATCAGTGTATGTTGCCTATGGATTAATTGCTATGTATTTGAAAACATACATGGTGTCAAACAATTGTTT